TTCTAGGACGTAGTTGAAATCGTGGGTTTTAGCGCGCAAAAGGGGAGGTGCCCCAGCAACTTGTGGCCAGGATAGTAGGTACATTCAGGCCGTGACTGAGTATGTCACTGAACTATAGAGCGCACATCAACGCCAGCTGACCAACCCTACCGATAGCGCAGGACGTTTTACTTTACATTATGCATACCGTTCACTACTCCCTCATGCTGATCAGCATGCGTCGTCCTCTCTGACGATGGTATTCTTTTGCCTTTGCCGTACAGCCCAGTAGTGAATAGACCAATTTCGATGTATCAAAATTCAGCCTAAAACAATAGACGAATGCGAGGTTCTAGGAAACAAATACAGAGTTTGTGGGGTTTATTCTCCAGAGCCTCATGCTGAGGTCTATTGTGTTAAGCTGATTTTTTTTAAATATATCGAAATTGGTCTATTGTCACCAAAAATGTCTGTCTGTCGGTCGGTCGGTCGTGTATTTCATGTAGTGTACCTGGTAAACAATGAGAAAAAGCAAACCAAGAAGAAAGAGACTGCAGGCGTGTTTTGCTTCGGTTTCCAGTCAAGCCTAATTTTTCGTCTGTTGTTTCGCGAGGCATCATCTTTCTCATCCGAACAACAGCAAAACTAACAACTTCAGTAACAACAACAATAACGCACTTTGTGTAAGCAGTACAAACAAACAAATAAACAAACGAACAAAATGTTCTTACTCGTCCACTTATCAATTTTATTTCATACTCACGTCGTTAAAATATGCATGACCTTACATGCTGATAAATTACTAAATTATCAAGAAGAGGATGGACATAAGTCCCGGCCAGTGCTACCTATTGAGATATCTGGAGAACGATCAAGCAAAACGACTTTCTAAATGTTGTATGAATGTTTAGGCGGCGATGGAAAAAAAAAATACTGAAATTCTAATTTCCTCATTCACTGTTATACATTTGCTTGACCGTCAGTTGTGAGAATCCAGGTAATCCACAAACTTCATTTTCATCAACTGTCTTTTACAACAATGCATCATCACCATTTTTGTATGAACAAAAACAGAAAAGGAAGTAGAAGCATTTTTTATGTAGAATACTGATCGATAAAATGTACACAGACTAGATCAATCCAACCGCAGTTAGCGGCAACCGAAAAGACAATCTCGCTCACTTATCTTGTTATTGTATTTACAGTTCAATATCATCTTTGTATAATTCTGCAGGTAGATTAGTATTGTCAACGTCACTTAACCGAACTGACAAATTATCTGAGAACCATTTCCCACGAGCCAAACAGTCAGTCTCTCGCTGTATAATAAAAATTACAATTGACATCCCGTGTGAAATTTGCCTGAAATTAATTAATTCATATTAAAACGTTCATTATCTATTCTCTGTCTTTCTCTACCGTTCAATTAGGTCTAATTTTATTTGATAGAAAACGTACGGATAATATTCTTGCTGAGACAAACTGAGCCCTGGGATGTCGAGATTCTGTAAGAAGAAGAAAAAAACAAGCATCGGGTTAGAAGCCAATAATGTTAAAAAAATATGTGCTCAAATGCTGTTGTTTACAGTGGGGTCAATGCTCTTAACTACACCTGGCTACATGTAGTTCACAGGCATGCCACTTAAAGGGGCTCAGTCACGGTTTACGCATATTGAAAAGTTACGCCTCAATTTTTCAAATTCGTCATTTGAAATCCGTGTCAATCTTCTCCATCCTTGGCCATCCTTGTTCCTTATGGTTTACCATTACCTCTTTGGTGTTTTTCTATCTTATTAAACTGCTATTTTCAGGTTTCCTACCATTTAAAGGTAATTTTGTACGTGGCCCAAATAACTCAAAATACCGTGACTGAGCTCCTTTAAACTGAAAGAAACAGTTACATTCCAAAAATCCCAACTGGCGTGAGGTAGACCGCTTGGCTATTTAAAAGCATGACCGGGGAGTTGAAACTACAGTCTACCGAGAAACAACTCCAGCTTAGTGATCCGAGCGGGACATAAACCCACGACTGACTTCGGATTTCAAGTCCGCTGCCATAATCACTCGGCCATTCTGCCTCCTCTTATGACAAACTGCTTGACATTCGAGTCTGGTAAGTCACTAAAACCACTTCTTTTTGCTGCTGATATAACAGTGCACCCTTGAGAGCAGTCTTCAAGTCTAACTTGCTCCGTTTTTCATCCGTGGACGATGAAAAATAAAACCCAGTTCCGGTTTTATTGTGCGCATGCGTTCGAGTTAAATAACGATTTCGAAAAATACGTAAAGAGAGTAACCGCTGAGTCTAAGACTAGCGCGCCTTCCAATTTCTTGACAGGCAAATAATTGACAATTACTGGACACGAAGTTGAGCAAAACATCGTGATTTGTCAGTGGCGAGCAGATCAATTATTTGCCGAAGTCGACGGCTGAGGAAAATAATTGAACTGCGAGACACTGACAAATCACGATATTTTACGACAACCGAGTTCAATAATTGTTTTATCATTTGATCACCAAGTTTGTTTTCATATATTAAATCTCTCTGACAGCTCAGGGAAGCGATTTGCTATTGCTAAATTAAGAGCGTGGTTACAATTACGCATAAGTAGGATATGGTATTTTCAGCAAAACACAATTAGACGGTTTGCGCATGAACAGACCATTATTTGTAGACAATTATTTGCATGTCATGTGGTGGGCTCTGGGCCAATGAAAAGAAAGAAAAAATGCATCGAATGATAATGGCATATCTTGTGTACTCTCAGCTCGTTTCACCGCACTGAGAGTAACTGAGATTCCGGAAGAAAGCTCCTGACCAAATTTTATGATCTACCCTCACTGACTCCTGTTGCCAGTTCGTTTGATGCAGCCTCTACTTTATGTCTCATTTGCTGTACTTTACAAGCACAGGGGTACTTCGTTGTTCGTTAAGAAAGTACAAACAATTAAAAGTAATACATACGTGAGCGTCATACATGGTGGAACTAAAGCCTTGGTTATCAAGATGCTGATAACACGAGTCGAGCATGTCTTTTATCTTCTTATGTGACTTCTTGGAAGGCTGCGAGGGTAGAGAAAACATCAATAAATCCTAGTGATGTAATGTGATGTTGCTGGCGAGAATCTTGAAGCAGGCTTCAAGAATAACAAATTTTATTTGACTGGGAGGGTCCATTGTTGCCATTTTGGCTCAACTGTGTTTGCGTTGACTCAAATAATATCTTTAAAATGACCAGCAAGTGCCGGAAGACCGGCACGACCCAGCTTCGGAAAGCTTTAATGATGTGCTCTGTGCCTTAAGGGCGTAAAAGTACTCCGTGCATGTCAAATAATCAAATAGTCACGCGCAAAGTGTGCAAGCAACGTCTACTAGGTCACGCAACACTCACACGATCGTGAATCGTAATAAAGGTAACATAAAATGTGCTATTTTGCTGGATTTTTCATCTGCATTAATATGAAGTAAAATTGTACATTTTATACCTGTAGAAGCATAGCTTGGAAGTTTACCGGGAGGCCATATCTGTAAAAAAAAAAGAAAAATTTAGAGCTTATTGCATAGTTTGCATCACCACAATAATGGAAGTCCAACACGCGTAAAACTGGACCCAAAAAATTCCATACTGATTACGTATCTGCCAAGCATCTCTGATTGGCTGTTTTTTGCGAGCGCGAAAATAACTAAACAAGAGCAATCAGAGTGGCAACCAGAGTGTGCGTAGCACGTCATTCTATTTAGCGCGCAGTAATAGTGCAAACATTAGACCACTTTCGAGTCAACATTGCAGCGAGGCTTAGAGGACACAAACAAAGGAAATTGAATGAACAAGTTTATTCATTTCTTTTGTTTGTGTCGTCTAGGCCTGACTATCAAACTGAATTTTAATATATCGAATGTGGCCTATTGCCGCTTTTCATGTGACGTCATCATTTTCCAAAATAAGAAATTACCAATCCTTCTGAAGTTTTAGTTTCATCAGATGTAAGACCCTCTAATAACTTGATGTTTTGCAGCGTTTCAGCTCGACAGGGTTCTCATTATGTAATAGAGCACGTTTGAATTTCCAAGTTTATGCGTTGTGTGACATTAAAATGGCGGCCCGATAAGGCTCTCGAGTAGTCAAAAAAGTTGAGTTATTGCTCAAGTTTTTGCTAACTAAACAGTTGTTGCTCTAGCAGAAGTATTAATTTCAATGTGTCAGAGCTACAGAGTAATAACTTTTCGTTTCAATAGCGAAACTCGATGACAGATGTTTCTGTTACTTTACGGCCGCCATGTTCGTGTCCCTCCGAGGGGCACAAACATGGCGACTTCATACAAAGCTCTATAAATTTGAGTGAAACACTTCTCCGAAAAACGAGAGAATGAAAAACTGCACAGACCTAAATCTTGGCGAGGTTGTTTATATATCAATCATATTTCATATCCCAGCTTCTTGACTTAGTTTATTGAATGATTATGATTTTTATTTTTGATGGCGTGACACTGCAAACCAGCCATATACTAAAATTGATTTAGAAGATTCAACATTTGAATTCGAGCTTACCTTAACACTGACTCCACAAACACACGAAGGGCCTGAACAAATAAAATGAGGAAATTAATTTCTTACAATGTAACAGCAGCACGAGAAAATGACACTTTTTTCAAATTGTATGAACTTGTTCACAAACTCCAGCCGAACGATTAACTGGCAAGTGTAATTTGGTAAAAACTCTGTACCTTGACATGAATCCACGCAATGAATGAATCACTAAAGTTCACTCTTAGCCACCTCACGAGAGGACCCTGAAATGGAATTCAAATAAAAAAAATTTATGAGTTAAATGATATACAAAATGTAACACACTTTATTGCATTTCAGGTCACTTCCAAATGATAGATAAAGTGAACCAGTTTGTTTGGTAAATCACGTGGAATGCGGTCGAACCAATTAGAGAGAAGCTGTCATCTACACGACCAATCGGGTTAAAGAACAAAACAATCAATCATTAGTTACTTTTCTTTTACCGCGCTCTGTGTTGCCAGACGCGGGGAGTTTACGGTGTTGTGATTTGGCGAAATGTTTACTGTTACTAAGATCAACCAATTCACAATCCAAAATATCTGACAAATATTATTATCAACAGAGGAAACTTATTTTAACTTACAAATTGTTTTTTCCTGTCGGATTCCAGTTTTGTGATTTCGTTTTTTCCTGCTTCCAGAGCCTGTTCATCATATACAAACTCACGAACTAAAAACCTAAAAAAAATAACAAGATAAACTTCAAAACAGAGAACACACAAAAATCATAAAGTAAACATAAAATGCACAGAGAGATTCTGCTTTGACATGGTAACTCTGAAAGAGGCTATTTGAAAGTTTTACCTTCGGAAGAAAGCAAGAAAAACTTTTTAACTCAAAACCTTTGTGATACCAGTGGACTGTTTTCCCTATTATTATTATCATTATTATTATTAATCCCTATTATAGGAGGAAAGGGTTAAATTTGATATTTTAGACATGTGGAATTCACCAGTGTACATGTACTTAGCACTGCTTTGTATCTAATGTTTGCAAATTTTTAACACATGGCTTAGGCTTTGGTGATCTAACAAGCTGTAGTATGAACAAGTGACCAGGGTCGAGTCGTTAAAAGGTTGGATAACAAGTTTTTTCACTGGAAATACCACACCACCATCCAGTTGTAAACATACTACACTGTAGATTGAATTTCTTCAACGAGATTTGAAGTTTTTATCTTTTCACAGTAAATGGTTTGAACCCAGGAGTATCAGTAGTTCTATACACTATACAAACTGTTTTTATCTTTTATTAACAAAATACAAAACTGCAGTTGTGCGCACGCTAGCCGCCAGATACAAGTAGTGTATAGCATTATCCAACCTTTAATCAAACAAGTCTAACAGTAGAGCCTGTGTCACAGCTGCCCTCGCCATACAAGAAAATCGGAGAGATCATCTGTGTGTTGCTGTTGATAATTTCCAATCTTTTTCTTTCACTGAAGGCGGCTGTGATACAGGCTACTAAGAGTATTTCTAGTCCTAACTACATGTACATTGTGGATGGGATGCTAGTCCAAAAGAGCCCCCTCCCAGACAAGTATATCTTGTCCGGTGACCCTAAGCAGTTCACCAATTGCACAACACAATGAAGAAACCAGGGGCCCATTTCTCGAAAGCCGCAGAAACTTTTCAGGTCGGTAAAGCCATTTTTATAAATTTTTAGTTCATCTGTATCTAAAAACGGAGAAGTGTATATGCCTGAAACTTCTTGTATGAAGGGAACCTCTGTTCATTTTAAGAATAAGTGAATAAAACAGCTCTGTAATCATAAGATTTGAGATTTTGCTTTTGCTTTCCGGGTGTGAAAACGTTTCGGAACCTTCAAGAACAGGCCCCATGATTGAACCTCAAGTCCAATGTATTAACTGTTAGACCACTTGTAACCGAGTTGTACTGTAGTGTTAAAAGTACATAAATAAAGTGATTCATTAACTCTGACTTCTTGGACCATCAATGCAACTTACTTCTTGTCTCTTGCATGAAGTTTGAACTCATCCACCACTTTCTTGAACAAGGTGACAGTAAACAAACCGTGTTCATTATCTTCAAAAACTAATCTACAAAACAACAACATAAAACATGTCATTTGTGATAATCGGTGTTGACATGAATTAGTATTGTGACGAAATCAAGCAGAGAAGGCTCATGGTTAGTACATTTGCAAAGAGACAGTTGAGAAACTTGTGACATTCTACGGTCAGCTTTGCCACTAGCACTTTTTTATTTTATTTAAAAATGTCTTTCGTTCTAGCTTCATTACAGAAACTAATTAAGGACACCTATCTAAAAATATTATTACATACAATATCAAATCTAAAGATAATCTATTTAAAAGATACATTATTAAATACAAAATCTAAAATAAATAAAAGTCCCTCCCAGTATTTTTGCAGGATCTACCACAAGTATGATAACAACTAATTAGATCAAATAAATGACAATCCTTGCAATTATTACTTAAAACATTTCTAAGGTCTAACTTTCTCACTTTACTTTTAGAGGCATACAAGGTTTCAATCATGTTAATAGATTTTGGGAGCTTAGACCAAATAAACGGACCCATATATCTTAACTGTGTCTCCCAGAGGTAGTGGTATTCTATCTATTGTAGGCATGGAAAAATGGTCTTTATTCCTAAGGCTATAATTACTCATGTTACAACTAAATAGTTCTGAAATATATGTTGGAACCAAATTGTTCTTAGTCTTAAACATTAACTAAGGATAGCAATATCTTGGAGTCTGCGGTTACGTAAAGATAGAAGATAAGCTTTCTTTAAAATTCTTAAAAATTCTTCACTTTAGGATAAGGTTTATTTTGTTTGTTTCAGCGTTGTGTGAATAGCGTTATCTGATTTATCTTGCATTCTGTTGTTTATATATCAACCTTAAAACCCCAAAGGTGGTGCCACTGCGTTTGGCTGGGGGTACACAGTCCCTATTTTTCCTCATAAGAGGTTTTTGGGTTTATGTGTCCAGCTTTGGCACAATCATGTAAGATATTTTTTGATGTATCTTTTATCCACTTTGCTGGAACCTTATTGTGTCAAAAAAACATCTTGGTCCTGGCAGACCAATGTGCCCATGCCTCATAACCTTTGAGAGTGTTTGCTTGGGCAGTGAAGGCAAAATAATGAAAATCAATTGATGCAACAACAGTATAACTACAAGGATAGTGAAGGCATAACTTGATCATGATTTAAATTTCATTTTATGTTCAAGTTTGATTTATAATTGATTTCTTTCAAATAAATGATTTACATGGTAAGAGTAACCTATACCAACCGTGATGATTCCGGAACAACCATATCTGTTAGTTTCCAATATGCCTTCTGCCATTCACTGTACAGGGCCCTATATCATGTGGCAACATTAAACCAGTGTTACTGACAGTAAGTACGTGTAGTGTGACATCAAAATTAAACGATAAAAGCCTAGTACAGTTATACTTAACACAGTTAATACTGTCTTACATTTTTATCAGACAAGAAACTATGGACAACATGTAGATCAGTCTCACACTGGATTAAAATGGTCCACATATAAATGATTAACAAAGAAATGAAAAGAGAAACTTGTTTTTTCTAAGAGCAAGTGACATGCATGTACCTTGGGACAACCACTAACTGAGTGGTGAGGTATTCAGAGTCCAAAACAAAATCTTCCTTTTTCACCAGGTCACCAAGATTTCTTGTGAGAAGGCTTCCCCTATGGCAAAAAAAATTGTTTCCATTAGTAAATAACTGAGGACTAAGTACACCGAGAATACCACAGATTCAATGAGCAAACAAACAAAAAGTAGCCCAATTTTTCCTTAGTGTCCTTGCCTTCATCTCTATACTTTATTTCTTTTCAACAGAAAAGGTAGCATTCATGAGCACTCCCATACAGATGCACAATCTATCAAATGAATGCAACCACACAAAAACAGATATTCTTACAGGTACTTAAAATAATAATTATTTTAAGTACCTGTAAGAATATCTGTTTTTGTGTGGTTGCGTTCATTTGATAGATTGTGTATCTGTAGGGGTCGAGTGCTCATGAAAGCTAAATTCTGCATTACATGATAGACTTACGTAGCTTTTCTCTCCAAGGAAGCCAGAGTGCCTCTGATTGTGTTGTACGCAGATGCCTTGGTCTTCAGGTCATGCTCAATCTGTGTCACTTGCTACATTGTAAAATGATAAAATCAGTCACAAAAATGCATTAACCAAATTAGAATTTAAGCATATGAAATCAAGATTTTTACAGACTGCATTGTTAGGCATGTACAGAAAACATTGACATAAAGACATGTAGACATGTAACTATTTTATTTCAGTCCATAATTACAGTGGCATTGACGGAAACATGTAGAGAGCAAAGGAACAGTTTAAATTGCTACCACTTAGAATTTCACCACGTTTTACAGTAAAGTTCCCAGTCTACTTGGTGACTAATGAAGGAAGAAGCCAGTACAATTAAGAAAATTAACTCAGTTTGATGAGGCACAGGCCTTCACAGTCTACTGTGAATGTTTCCACTGAAGAGTATTGACATACAGCTGTAAGAATGTTCAATAATTTCTGCATACCTTGCTGATGATTTCTGTCAAGTTCCTCAGTGACTGTTTGATGGGATATTTAGCGGAATCCCACTGAAACTTGGTTACAAAGTTTGACAGGTCCTCTGTGAAATTGTAACAGTCTTTCAGTCTTGGACTGTGCACTCCATTAAATCTTAATAATACAACACTCACTTTCTTTAAGGTAAAGACTGCATACAAGCCAAGTGGCCAATCAGGCCAGCGCTTATCTCCGGTTTCTATAACATGAAGCGACTAGGAGTATTTCCACTCTCCCCTGAATGGGATGCTAGTCTATTGCAGGGTTACCCCCAGAATTAAATTCGCCGGTACCCATTTATAATACACCTGGGTGGAAAGAGGCACTGTGAGAGTAAAGCGTCTTGCCCAAGAACACAATACAATATCCCAGTCCAGGGCTCAAACCCAGACCGCTCGATCCAGAGACAAGCGCAGCAACCATGAGGCCACCGCGCCTCCCTTCTTTAAGTCAGACATTAATCAAAGACAATATTGGTTGAAATGTTTCACTAGGTTTTAATTTTTAAACTAGGTTTCTTGATTAGTAGTGCCACAGTGCCATTCAAAGTGATCTCAAATTTGGAGAAAACCCATTTTACATTACAAAGTGAAATACTGTACATGTACAAATGTACGTGCATGCTGGCATCTACAAATTAGCTTTTCAAACAAGCATCAGTAGCATTCATGTACATGCATGTCTATCATACTTACGGCCATTTGCAAGCAGATTTTCTCTCACTCTGTCCTGAAAGAAGCAAAGAGTATATTCAACACAAATTCATGTGTATGAACATTAAACATAACAGTAACAATGATTATTATTTTAGGTCACATAAATTTACACATGAGGACATTAAGAGAGTGTATTAGCCTACTGACAGTGATTAATCTGAAGAGATCTTAGTACACACCTGATGCTCCTCTAACACATCAACCATGTAGTGAGCTAACTTTCGAGTGACACTGCAAATAAGGAAATAACAACAAAACAATGTTAAGTCCCTGTCATGCCAGATGTGCAAATATCCCAGAGTACATCCTAAATCAAGTAACATGAAGTTAACTGTAATATACACGTAGACAGTAGAAGGAGTATATTTAAGTAATCTCCTTGATGGAATTCTAGTCCATTGTAAGGGTTACAAAAAATTCACCAGACAAGGGTCCTTATTATTTCCATCTTTGCAGTGAGAGGCATTGTGAGAGTATTAAGTTCATTAATTTTATTTATAAGTGTCTTGCCCAAGAACACCACATAGTGGACATAGCCAGCCGTGAGGGCTCTAACCCAGATCCTCTATCCCAAGTCCCTTCAATCTACCACCAGGCTTGGGAACTTCCCTATTTGTCTAGTAAAATATAAACATCATATCAAATTTATAGTCCTGTAAACAGGTTTCACCATATGTTGTTACAGAAAATATCCATACCCCTCTCACGGAAGGTTTTTATAATTTCAATCTCACAACTCTCTAAAGAAAATTCCAGTTTAGCGTCATAATATCCTTTAAAACCTTCTGATGTATCTTTGTGTACATATATGTGTACCTTTCAACAAATCCATCCAATTTCCCCAGATCATCTGACAGCCCAACAAGCGTATCCAAGGTTCCCACCTGCCAATAAATAATAACAGTACTGCTGAAGAAGTACATGGAAGTTAAGGTCTGCACACACTGGGGGATATGACACAAGGACATGAAGCAGGGATGTGTCACAGCCACAGTTTTTGCAACAGTGACTGACCATGTTTAGACATAGCCATATAGACATAGACATGGTTTATTTTACTTGGTCGCATACTTACATAATGGGAACGGTACGTCCCATAGACTTTACGCAGAGTCTACAGGATGCACCAGCTAGTTTACAGGTGTACCAAGAAAACAAACTAACAATGTGAAAATGTGCAAATGGGAATAAATATTAAACTAAACTAACAAATAGGATTATATAACTACTATAAAATATCTAAAAATGATTTTTGGGGAAAAAAATATGTTGCAGGGACAAAATCACATCCCTTCAACATTTGCCTGAAATTCAGCTGGTTTGAATTCTTCCATCAGGAAGAAGGGGCAAACTGAATTCAATTTTCAATGTCGCATTCTTTGCACTACCTTTGCAAAATGTCCTGTTTACAACATAGAAATGAACCAATATCTGCTTCACAGAGATGTTCTCTCCAATTTTTTCTTTCGGGGAGGGCGGTAGTGACACAGGCTACCAAACTGTGGGAACTATTTATTTTGTAATTACAGAGGGAATGTCATAAAGGCCACTAACTGGAAACACACCATGAGTGATAATTTGCATATATAGCAGTTATAAGTGCAAGTTAGGCAATTATCAAAATAAAGCTAAGTAACATAAATTCAGGCTTGGACAGAATGCAAGTGCAGCAATTCCTGGGTTCAAATACAGTTCAAGGTTGAATGTTTTTGGTTGTTTGCTGTTTTTTTCAGGCTTTATTTACATAACTGTTTAAGTTGTGTTCATAACTGCAATGACCTCTCATGTTGCCTACTGTACTTACACATCTTTTCTCCTGCAGTTCAAATACAAAATGTACATGATATTTCACATATTCACTAGCTTTAGTTCACCATCCATGGATATGATAGCTCTGTGGGTAGAGCACTGAACCAGGATCACAGTGTAAAAGTAATGGGTTTGAAGCCTGTTGGAGCCTTATTTCGTTTTTCAGACTTTATTTTTGCAACTGCCTACGTTGTTCTCATACACTGAACATGTACAATGTACAAGTCATGTCATCATCATTTATCCGTTCTCCAAGTGGAGAATTGGGCCGTAAGCTCTCTGCCTCCAGGCAAGTCATGTAACTATATTTTAACTCCACGAGATCAGCAAGGTTAAAACTTGTTCAATTTCATGAAACGTTTTGTACAAACGTCATTTTAAAACAGAAGCAAACGGAGAAGCTAAGTGAGAACAAATTCGTGAATAATACCATCACAGAGAGTAAGCTACAACTTGTTAGCTTACATCATATAAGCCAACTATGGAATTGCGAGTTCTAGAACAAGAACATTTGATCATAAATCTCGCGTAAAATTAAGGGTTTTTGAGTTGCCTATGGCTTACCAAGAAACAAACGTACTTAATGTTATCGTAGCTAGGTTTTTTATTGAAATAATACTATGATTTATATGATCAGATCATCACCAACCTTAAGCTCGGGAAGTTGAAGTTGGAAGACCGGGGTGAGACCGGTCATCTTGCCTTTGAGGTTTGTATACGTTTGTTGTGGTGTTTTATCACCGGGAGCTGAAATAAGCCAATACTCTGCCATCCTGTCAGCTAGTCTTATCAAAAATCTAAGCAGTTAATGCTAACATGAACGTGTTTTTCGTACGAATCTCCGAAGACTTAACTACCACCGATCTATCACTATTTTCCCAACTTGAGCGCATGACTGTCACGTGCACGAACGCTGGCTCATCCTATCGCCGGCGACTTATCGATTTCACTGGAATGGCTTCTTCTAAAATCGATTGATGATTCGAACTTGCCTTTATATGGTCAAGGGGACTTCCGTTTCATGCGAAAAGTCAAAGTATATTATTCCTCAATGGCTGCGAAGGGTCTTTCTCACTTCTTTCAAAAGGACAAGGTAGATAAAATTGCCACTAGATTTGTTTGTTCCGTTGTTACAGTTGGAAGTACGTCGAATTGACTTCGTTTCCGCATGATAATTGTTTGTTTTGTTGTGATTGTATGGTTGTACAACATTTATAAGTTGGTATCTGTAGGAATCCTTACACATTTTGCCTATCAAAGTCGCTATCATTGACTTTGTGTTATCTTCCAGACCTTTCGTCCGAAAAGGAAGTTGGAAGAAGGAACATTACGTTACGAACTACACAAGCAGTCCAAGGTACCGTTTATAAAACATAGAAATTAAATACACTCAGCCATTCATAGTTTGATTCGATCTTCATGATTATTTTATCAGTCGTTTTGACGCGCTGAAGCCGTTTAAAACTAACTTACATTCTTGGTGTCGTTTGCCTTTTCAAGGCCTCACTTCATTCCGGCATCAATCTGAAAGCATGCGTGAAACTCCCAGCTGACGAGGATCTCAATGACTGGGTGGCCGTGCACAGTAAGATTAAAATCACAGCTCTCTAATCAGACTGAACATCTTAAAACGTAAACNGGATAAGGTTTATTTTGTTTGTTTTAGCGTTGTGTGAATAGCGTTATCTGATTTATCTTGCATTCTGTTGTTTATATATCAACCTTAAAACCCCAAAGGTGGTGCCACTGCGTTTGGCTGGGGGTACACAGTCCCTATTTTTCCTCATAAGAGGTTTTTGGGTTTATGTGTCCAGCTTTGGCACAATCATGTAAGATATTTTTTGATGTATCTTTTATCCACTTTGCTGGAACCTTATTGTGTCAAAAAAACATCTTGGTCCTGGCAGACCAATGTGCCCATGCCTCATAACCTTTGAGAGTGTTTGCTTGGGCAGTGAAGGCAAAATAATGAAAATCAATTGATGCAACAACAGTATAACTACAAGGATAGTGAAGGCATAACTTGATCATGATTTAAATTTCATTTTATGTTCAAGTTTGATTTATAATTGATTTCTTTCAAATAAATGATTTACATGGTAAGAGTAACCTATACCAACCGTGATGATTCCGGAACAACCATATCTGTTAGTTTCCAATATGCCTTCTGCCATTCACTGTACAGGGCCCTATATCATGTGGCAACATTAAACCAGTGTTACTGACAGTAAGTACGTGTAGTGTGACATCAAAATTAAACGATAAAAGCCTAGTACAGTTATACTTAACACAGTTAATACTGTCTTACATTTTTATCAGACAAGAAACTATGGACAACATGTAGATCAGTCTCACACTGGATTAAAATGGTCCACATATAAATGATTAACAAAGAAATGAAAAGAGAAACTTGTTTTTTCTAAGAGCAAGTGACATGCATGTACCTTGGGACAACCACTAACTGAGTGGTGAGGTATTCAGAGTCCAAAACAAAATCTTCCTTTTTCACCAGGTCACCAAGATTTCTTGTGAGAAGGCTTCCCCTATGGCAAAAAAAATTGTTTCCATTAGTAAATAACTGAGGACTAAGTACACCGAGAATACCACAGATTCAATGAGCAAACAAACAAAAAGTAGCCCAATTTTTCCTTAGTGTCCTTGCCTTCATCTCTATACTTTATTTCTTTTCAACAGAAAAGGTAGCATTCATGAGCACTCCTATACAGATGCACAATCTATCAAATGAATGCAACCACACAAAAACAGATATTCTTACAGGTACTTAAAATAATAATTATTTTAAGTACCTGTAAGAATATCTGTTTTTGTGTGGTTGCGTTCATTTGATAGATTGTGTATCTGTAGGGGTCGAGTGCTCATGAAAGCTAAATTCTGCATTACATGATAGACTTACGTAGCTTTTCTCTCCAAGGAAGCCAGAGTGCCTCTGATTGTGTTGTACGCAGATGCCTTGGTCTTCAGGTCATGCTCAATCTGTGTCACTTGCTACATTGTAAAATGATAAAATCAGTCACAAAAATGCATTAACCAAATTAGAATTTAAGCATATGAAATCAAGATTTTTACAGACTGCATTGTTAGGCATGTACAGAAAACATTGACATAAAGACATGTAGACATGTAACTATTTTATTTCAGTCCATAATTACAGTGGCATTGACGGAAACATGTAGAGAGCAAAGGAACAGTTTAAATTGCTACCACTTAGAATTTCACCACGTTTTACAGTAAAGTTCCCAGTCTACTTGGTGACTAATGAAGGAAGAAGCCAGTACAATTAAGAAAATTAACTCAGTTTGATGAGGCACAGGCCTTCACAGTCTACTGTGAATGTTTCCACTGAAGAGTATTGACATACAGCTGTAAGAATGTTCAATAATTTCTGCATACCTTGCTGATGATTTCTGTCAAGTTCCTCAGTGACTGTTTGATGGGATATTTAGCGGAATCCCACTGAAACTTGGTTACAAAGTTTGACAGGTCCTCTGTGAAATTGTAACAGTCTTTCAGTCTTGGACTGTGCACTCCATTAAATCTTAATAATACAACACTCACTTTCTTTAAGGTAAAGACTGCATACAAGCCAAGTGGCCAATCAGGCCAGCGCTTATCTCCGGTTTCTATAACATGAAACGACTAGGAGTATTTCCACTCTCCCCTGAATGGGATGCTAGTCTATTGCAGGGTTACCCCCAGAATTAAATTCGCCGGTACCCATTTATAATACACCTGGGTGGAAAGAGGCACTGTGAGAGTAAAGCGTCTTGCCCAAGAACACAATACAATATCCCAGTCCAGGGCTCAAACCCAGACCGCTCGATCCAGAGACAAGCGCAGCAACCATGAGGCCACCGCGCCTCCCTTCTTTAAGTCAGACATTAATCAAAGACAATATTGGTTGAAATGTTTCACTAGGTTTTAATTTTTAAACTAGGTTTCTTGATTAGTAGTGCCACAGTGCCATTCAAAGTGATCTCAAATTTGGAGAAAACCCATTTTACATTACAAAGTGAAATACTGTACATGTACAAATGTACGTGCATGCTGGCATCTACAAATTAGCTTTTCAAACAAGCATCAGTAGCATTCATGTACATGCATGTCTATCATACTTACGGCCATTTGCAAGCAGATTTTCTCTCACTCTGTCCTGAAAGAAGCAAAGAGTATATTCAACACAAATTCATGTGTATGAACATTAAACATAACAGTAACAATGATTATTATTTTAGGTCACATAAATTTACACATGAGGACATTAAGAGAGTGTATTAGCCTACTGACAGTGATTAATCTGAAGAGATCTTAGTACACACCTGATGCTCCTCTAACACATCAACCATGTAGTGAGCTAACTTTCGAGTGACACTGCAAATAAGGAAATAACAACAAAACAATGTTAAGTCCCTGTCATGCCAGATGTGCAAATATCCCAGAGTACATCCTAAATCAAGTAACATGAAGTTAACTGTAATATACACGTAGACAGTAGAAGGAGTATATTTAAGTAATCTCCTTGATGGAATTCTAGTCCATTGTAAGGGTTACAAAAAATTCACCAGACAAGGGTCCTTATTATTTCCATCTTTGCAGTGAGAGGCATTGTGAGAGTATTAAGTTCATTAATTTTATTTATAAGTGTCTTGCCCAAGAACACCACATAGTGGACATAGCCAGCCGTGAGGGCTCTAACCCAGATCCTCTATCCCAAGTCCCTTCAATCTACCACCAGGCTTGGGAACTTCCCTATTTGTCTAGTAAAATATAAACATCATATCAAATTTATAGTCCTGTAAACAGGTTTCACCATATGTTGTTACAGAAAATATCCATACCCCTCTCACGGAAGGTTTTTATAATTTCAATCTCACAACTCTCTAAAAAAAATTCCAGTTTAGCTTCATAATATCCTTTAAAACCTTCTGATGTATCTTTGTGTACATATATGTGTACCTTTCAACAAATCCATCCAATTTCCCCAGATCATCTGACAGCCCAACAAGCGTATCCAAGGTTCCCACCTGCCAATAAATAATAACAGTACTGCTGAAGAAGTACATGGAAGTTAAGGTCTGCACACACTGGGGGGTATGACACAAGGACATGAAGCAGGGATGTGTCGCAGCCACAGTTTTTGCAACAGTGACTGACCATGTTTAGACATAGCCATATAGACATAGACATGGTTTATTTTACTTGGTCGCATACTTACATAATGGGAACGGTACGTCCCATAGACTTTACGCAGAGTCTACAGGATGCACCAGCTAGTTTACAGGTGTACCAAGAAAACAAACTAACAATGTGAAAATGTGCAAATGGGAATAAATATTAAACTAAACTAACAAATAGGATTATATAACTACTATAAAATATCTAAAAATGATTTTTGGGGAAAAAAATATGTTGCAGGGACAAAATCACATCCCTTCAACATTTGCCTGAAATTCAGCTGGTTTGAATTCTTCCATCAGGAAGAAGGGGCAAACTGAATTCAATTTTCAATGTCGCATTCTTTGCACTACCTTTGCAAAATGTCCTGTTTACAACATAGAAATGAACCAATATCTGCTTCACAGAGATGTTCTCTCCAATTTTTTCTTTCGGGGAGGGCGATAGTGACACAGGCTACCAAACTGTGGGAACTATTTATTTTGTAATTACAGAGGGAATGTCATAAAGGCCACTAACTGGAAACACACCATGAGCGATAATTTGCATATATAGCAGTTATAAGTGCAAGTTAGGCAATTATCAATTGAAAATAAAGCTAAGTAACATAAATTCAGGCTTGGACAGAATGCAAGTGCAGCAATTCCTGGGTTCAAATACAGTTCAAGGTTGAATGTTTTTGGTTGTTTGCTGTTTTTTTCAGGCTTTATTTACATAACTGTTTAAGTTGTGTTCATAACTGCAATGACCTCTCATGTTGCCTACTGTACTTACACATCTTTTCTCCTGCAGTTCAAATACAAAATGTACATGATATTTCACATATTCACTAGCTTTAGTTCACCATCCATGGATATGATAGCTCTGTGGGTAGAGCACTGAACCAGGATCACAGTGTAAAAGTAATGGGTTTGAAGCCTGTTGGAGCCTTATTTCGTTTTTCAGACTTTATTTTTGCAACTGCCTACGTTGTTCTCATACACTGAACATGTACAATGTACAAGTCATGTCATCATCATTTATCCGTTCTCCAAGTGGAGAATTGGGCCGTAAGCTCTCTGCCTCCAGGCAAGTCATGTAACTATATTTTAACTCCACGAGATCAGCAAGGTTAAAACTTGTTCAATTTCATGAAACGTTTTGTACAAACGTCATTTTAAAACAGAAGCAAACGGAGAAGCTAAGTGAGAACAAATTCGTGAATAATACCATCACAGAGAGTAAGCTACAACTTGTTAGCTTACATCATATAAGCCAACTATGGAATTGCGAGTTCTAGAACAAGAACATTTGATCATAAATCTCGCGTAAAATTAAGGGTTTTTGAGTTGCCTATGGCTTACCAAGAAACAAACGTACTTAATGTTATCGTAGCTAGGTTTTTTATTGAAATAATACTATGATTTATATGATCAGATCATCACCAACCTTAAGCTCGGGAAGTTGAAGTTGGAAGACCGGGGTGAGACCGGTCATCTTGCCTTTGAGGTTTGTATACGTTTGTTGTGGTGTTTTATCACCGGGAGCTGAAATAAGCCAATACTCTGCCATCCTGTCAGCTAGTCTTATCAAAAATCTAAGCAGTTAATGCTAACATGAACGTGTTTTTCGTACGAATCTCCGAAGACTTAACTACCACCGATCTATCACTATTTTCCCAACTTGAGCGCATGACTGTCACGTGCACGAACGCTGGCTCATCCTATCGCCGGCGACTTATCGATTTCACTGGAATGGCTTCTTCTAAAATCGATTGATGATTCGAACTTGCCTTTATATGGTCAAGGGGACTTCCGTTTCATGCGAAAAGTCAAAGTATATTATTCCTCAATGGCTGCGAAGGGTCTTTCTCACTTCTTTCAAAAGGACAAGGTAGATAAAATTGCCACTAGATTTGTTTGTTCCGTTGTTACAGTTGGAAGTACGTCGAATTGACTTCGTTTCCGCATGATAATTGTTTGTTTTGTTGTGATTGTATGGTTGTACAACATTTATAAGTTGGTATCTGTAGGAATCCTTACACATTTTGCCTATCAAAGTCGCTATCATTGACTTTGTGTTATCTTCCAGACCTTTCGTCCGAAAAGGAAGTTGGAAGAAGGAACATTACGTTACGAACTACACAAGCAGTCCAAGGTACCGTTTATAAAACATAGAAATTAAATACACTCAGCCATTCATAGTTTGATTCGATCTTCATGATTATTTTATCAGTCGTTTTGACGCGCTGAAGCCGTTTAAAACTAACTTACATTCTTGGTGTCGTTTGCCTTTTCAAGGCCTCACTTCATTCCGGCATCAATCTGAAAGCATGCGTGAAACTCCCAGCTGACGAGGATCTCAATGACTGGGTGGCCGTGCACAGTAAGATTAAAATCACAGCTCTCTAATCAGACTGAACATCTTAAAACGTAAAC